GCCACAGCGGGTTCACCCCGTTCATGCCACCCAGAGGGTCCTTGGTGCACACGGTGGCAGGTCCATCAAGACCAGGTGCCGAGTCTCCCCCAACTCCCCGCACCCCAAGCGTGGCAGAGTGGACCTGCTCCATGAGGTTTCCCTGGCTGTGAGCTCTACAGAGGGTTTGGCCGGGCCTTTCCAGTGTGATGCCCCCGGCGGGGATTTGAACTGCCAACCTCTGGCTAGCAGCCAAGCGTAAACTGCTCTCCCCACAGTCTCCTTGTTCTCCTTTTAGAGGACGGGAGATGGAAGTTCAGTGCTGGGATCTGGACCGGCCCAGGCCCTGCCCCCTGTCCCCCAGTCGGGGTGACAGGAAGGGACAGGGACACACACACACACACACACACACACACGCGCGCGCGGAGCCCCCTGAAGAGGATACTGAAGGTGGAGCAGGAGGCAGTCTCCAGGTCGTAGAGGCAGCTGCACAGTTCTCGGGGGTCAGAGGTCAGGCCTGACAACTGCGGGGAGCAGAGGACTCAGTGTGTGTTGGGGTGTTGGGGGGTCCAGGCCTCGCCCCCGCCCGCCCCCTCACCCAGGCCGTGTCGTCGTTGACCACCACCAGGGCGAACTCGTGGCTCTTGCAGATCCTGTGCTTGGTCCGGACGAACATCTCGATCATCTTCTGGGAGACGTTGAGGGCGTTGGTTTTGGAGCTGCGGACCGAGGCCGGGGGTCAGGGGTGCTGAGGCAGGGCCTCCTGGACTAGGGGACCCTGGCACCCCTTGCCCATCCAACTGGGGGGGCCTCTACCAGCCCCACGCTTCCCCAGTTCCCAGCAGGACCCCTGGGCCTGCCCAGCTCTGACCTTGCCCTTCGGTCCCACCCCAGCTCTGCTGGGCCAGGCCCCAGTGAAGGGAGAGGAGGGCAGATTCACCCCAGGACGGCCCACAGTCCTGCCTCGCTGCGGGAGCCTGCAGACTCCGAACAGGGACTGTTGGGTCAGCCGGGCCTGGCTCCAAATCCCATTTTCCACTTTGGGCCCTGAGACCTGCTTCTCAGAGCCTGTTATGGCCTAGATTGTGCCCCCCGGCCCCCAATCTGTGTTGCAAATTTTAGCCCCTAGACCTGGGGATGCGCCGTGCTTTGGAAAGAGCTTTCTTTGCATGGTCAGCGTCGCGCATCAGAGGGGAGGGGAGGGGAGACAGATGCCACCTGCAGGTCCCCATCGGGGCAACTCTGACCTGGGAGACTCCACATTGGCAGGGT